CATCCCTCTGACCTCCAACCGCGATGTGTGCTACGACACGTTCACACAAACCTACCACGAGGTGGGCTCAGAGTGGGAGCGCATGTCTGAGACGGGCTTCAAGCTGTGGTGCCGCTGCCTGGGGCTGGGCAGCGGCCACTTCAGGTGTGATTCATCCAGTGAGTGGCTTATTAACCCCAAACACTCAGCAGCACACCATGGAATTACTCAGTCTGATAATTCTATGTGGTTCACTGGAGGAATTTATATGGGATAATAAAACTATAACTTAGCAAACTAAAAATAACTGCACATTATAAATTCCTCAGAAGAAGCCGTAGAATCCCAGAGTTCAGGTTCTATGTGCAGCAGCAGCAGCAGCACACGGCAGCAACATCCTGGCATGGGCAGCCTCGTCAGTCATGCATAGTTAGTTATAATTACATGTCTTATCACAGCTGTTTGGACATTTTTAGTAATACAAATTGATCATACAAGTAATTTAATTGGTACATATGAGTCTATAGTCTGCCCATGTCACAGTAAAAGCTCACAAAGCTCATCTGTCAGCCTCATCCTCAGTCATCTGTATTGTCCATGTCTGTCCAGAGCTAACAGGACGATACCAGGAACTGAGAGCACTGGCTGGAGGTTCACTCACTGTTTCTGTACACTGGGATGTATTAGAGTTGTCACAGCGTTGTTTATGCACTTCACACTGACTTGACCTGTTTCTGTGATTTTTTCTGCTGTGTGAAGGAAAAGGTTTGATTTTTATCTGACTGCTGTTTACACATACTGATGATATTCTCTCCTTTCACTTTCAACGTGGCTGTCTCTTGTCTTTTACACCTCTCCTTCTCCATTTCTGTCCTTCTGTTTCCTGCTCCCCCCCTCTACAGAGTGGTGTCACGACAACGGGAATAACTACCGTATCGGAGAGAAGTGGGATCGCCACGCTGAGAACGGTCACATGATGAGCTGCACCTGCCTGGGCAACGGCAAGGGAGAGTTTAAATGTGAACCGCGTAAGTTCAGACTGGAAACCGTGGTTAGATTTAGAGCTGCTGTCGTTGTGATGCAGGACGACTGATGAGTGAGTGTACGGTGCGTCACAGAATACGTTTACAGTCACATCTGAGACGGTCAGATTGTCCCGTTTCCTGATTCACACACACCTGAAACAAGTCTGTTAGAATGTGAATACTACTTCCCTCTACTGTTGATCTTTAACATATAAACATCATCCTACAGATGAGTCGACGTGTTATGACGATGGGAAGATGTACCAGGTTGGAAACCAGTGGCAGAAGGAATACCTGGGCGCCATCTGCACCTGCACCTGCTACGGAGGACAACAGGTGATAGAACAGTCCATGTAACCCACTCATAGCTGCTGGATGGGAAAAAATAGACAAATCCTCAGTGTTCAGGTTAAAAATACCTGCATGATGTTGACTTGGTGGACTTCATGTGTATGTGTGTACGTGAACCTTTGCTGCTGCTGCTTCAGGGCTGGCGATGTGAGAACTGCAGACGACCAGGAGGACAGACCGACGTGGACGCTGACCTCCTGCAGCCGGTTCACACCGACGCCTTCGACCGCTACAGAGAAAACGCTCTACGCAAACTGGTCAGTGCCTCTCTGTGTCCAGGTTTCCTTTTACGTTTCTTCTACAGAGTTTACATTTTATTACTTTTACTATCGTCCAGAATTATGAAGAAAACGAACAAATAGGTCCCCCAGATACTCATCACACTGTTTACTGTGTGCTGCTAGTGGACCTTATTTCTGTGGTCGTCGCTTCTCCACAAACTGAAGATCCAGTTTCTAAATAAATAACATATTTTAGCACAACTGGGGTGCATCGGCCAAGTTCTAGGAAGGGGTGTTACTTAAATGTGAAAATGTATTAGCAGGAATTGCAGGAATTTTAATTTGTAGATTTAAAACTGTTTTATTTGCTCAACTATAAATAAGGTAATAATGTAGATGTGACACATACGAAAGGAATAAACACTTCTAATTATCTCTTCCTCCCTCCTCTCCGTCCTCCAGAACATCCAGTGTCCGATTGAATGTTTGAGACCGGAGCTGCTTGCAGACGCTCAAAGCCCCTCAGAGTAGAGAAGAAGGAGGATGAAGAAGTGTCCGCACCACTTCAGGAAGGAAGCCGCCTCCTGCTTTCACCAAAACAGGACATTTTTCATCAGAATGTGCCTTAAAGGTTTTCACCACAACACAAATCGTAGTGCCTTAATAAGACTTTTCTACTCCAAACTCTGCGCCTTTTGAAAGATTTGTCAACTTTTCACGTGGGTCTGGACCTTCGGACTGTTGATCCTTCAACAGAAACAGGGATTTCTCTCCTCAGGTGAACTTTTGATGCAAATCTGTCAGAGCACAAATCCTGCTGCTTCACCACCTTCAACCTGCCTGCACCACACATACTGTCCACACACACACACACACACACGAGATGCAGTATTGTTGTGTATTTTTACTGATGGATTGGGGCTTTTTGTTAATTTCAGAACATTCCAAGACAATTCTTTTCCTCTGACCAAAACTGAAAACGTAATAGAATTGCCCTGATTTTAATAATCATGTCCCTGAATAATAACTGTGCTTTTGTTGCATTTCCTATATTTTTTGAGGTTTCACTGTGAGTAATATGTATTCAGAAGACATTTTAGGTGATGATAGAGTGCATTTTGTCAGTCCTTAGACATTTCCAAATGAGGAGTGAGAGTTGCAGTACTTTCAGTGCTTCCCTGACCTCCACAGACGTGAATCTAACTGCTTTTACAGTTTTTATGAACTTGAATCAGCAGTGAAGGGGAACACGCTTCATGACAAAGAAGGCACTCCTGTAAATGACCTGTCTGTCTCTGTGGTGAGCGTCCTGCTCGTCTGAAGAGCGAAGCCACCGATCGCTAATCACAGATTCTTTGTTAAATTACAAAAATGTCAACAACAATCTTCCCAATCAAAGGCAAGCACTGTAACTTCAAGGTGATGTGATGTTGTCTAGCGATCAGTGCTGTGTAGGCTTCACCATGTGGTTGTGCCATGTTTTATTTAGGTTTTCTACAAAATACAGAATCTATAAAGTTTTTAAGCCCACAGCCGACTGACCAAATGTTATATCAAAATGAATCGCAAAACTTACCATTATTTCCAAGAGAAATGCATTTTAATTACACAAGTGTTTGTATTTTTTTTATTCATTTGTTTTATTTATCCCTTTTTGTTTGATGCTATTTTGGGGTGTACACTTTATTTTTGATTAACTTGTTTTTATATTGTTCGTGCCAGACTCTGAACTACTGTGGACTGAATCTTTTTAATAAACAGTTAAAAAACCCACGCCGGTTGGTGACGGTGAATGAATCTGTTCCAAGTTGTTTGGTGAGAGTCTCTTCTATACATACAGTCCATGGCGTCCATGGTTGTTCTCTGACTCCAGGAACCACACGGCTACAGACAACTTCAAGTTCTGACACTAACTTGCACTGAGACAGCTTAACTAACAAGTGACATCACATTTATTTGCAAAATAAGAAAAGATGCAATGCAGTGTAATACAGAAGAAAGAATGCACGTTGTCCATGCAACAGCATCCCTGAAGATGTAATCCTAGACTGTCTATGGATGGAACAGTAAAGAAACCTGAGCACTCTCAGCTACAGGTTGGGGCCAGAAAGGTGGAGGAGACAACAATGGTCTGACATATTTAAACCTTCTGCTTAGAATGAGTCAAACTTGACTCATGAACTCTGTTTCTCAAACATTAAAAAAGGATGCAGCTTGAAAACAACAAGACACTTCCTTCTCCAAAAAGGACATTTACAACATCCAAGTGTCCATCAGTGCAAGCTACTGTAATAAACCATATGTATGCAAAAGAAGCTTATTTCAAAGGTATAAAGGCACATTCTATCTCTGTCACTCAGGGGAAAAAATAAAATAAAAATAAAAATGCATTTAAAAAAAAATACACACACACACACACACACACACACACATATATATATATATATACACATATACACACAGTCGTCCTCAGATGTATTCGTCTCCTTCCATTAAAGAAAAGGCAAAACCCACAACAGTCACTCAAGTAACTAGAAACAAGAAAAACTAATAATAAAAAAATGTGCTAAATTATAATTTACTGAAGTAAAAACACTGCTTTTGAATTGTGGTTGAAAATAATAATAATAAAAAATAAAAAAAAACTGTCCCGGACCAATGAGAGGCCTTTGCTGATGAGCAGAGGACCAGAATACCTGTCAACAGGTGCAGAAGTCTGACTGAGAGTTACAGAAAACACTTGACTGATAAAATATTAATTTATGGGACCCATCATGCTTGTTTTTTTTGTTGTTGTTGTTGTTTGTTTTTTTTTTAATATTTCTGTTGAACCACAATTCAAAAGCATTGTTCATTAATTTTTTTAAATGTATTATTACTTTTGTCAGTGTCAACTTGTGTCAGTGACAGCTGCTGTTTTCCTTCTTTAATGGGAGGCTATGAATACATGTGAGGACCTGTACAGTCCATGACAACTCTATGACCTTTTATTGTGAAACTCCCAGGGAAAGACCCCCGGTTAAGGGGGGTCTTCAAAATAAAATCACTGACATTTCATTCGTAATAGTTTTAGAGGACTAATGTTCCTTTTTCCGTCTCTGAACTAACTGCTTTGGTGCTGTGAAGGTAAATCTCTGTACTCGGATCAAAGCCACTTGGTTTTTACAAACTCTGACAAACTGACGGATTCATTCTCTCGTTCATCAGACTGCTGGTGCCAATCATTTCCATTTAGCTCGGTGAAAACTCATTTTTCCATTAAAGATAAATAAACAAATGTAAACACATGACCTTAATAGACTAAATGAGGTGCTCTTGACACCGGGTCCGTGTGTGTGCGGTCTGCGGGCACCTGATGCTCTTATTGTGAAGAACCGGGAGCGGATGCGTAGTTCGCTGACACAGAGGAAGCGCGGAGTCGAGCGGAGTACAAGTTAGAGAGAAGCTCAGCCGAACCTACCGAACACACCAGCATGGACAACGTCTCCATCGACAGCCTGGTGCTGAAGCTGCACGACGTGAACGCGGTGAAGTTCGGGGAGTACCAGCTGAAGAGCGGCATGCTGACCCCCATCTACATCGACCTCCGGGTGCTGGTGTCCCATCCCGCCCTCATGAACCAGGTAGACACGTGTTGCCGCCTCGCTGCGCAGCCTGCTGGCTTTAGAGGCGGATTAACGGTGATATTAAATCGATAATTGATCATATATGAAACCCAGCAGCTCCTCCGTGGTGACCGTGACGTGGGCGCGCACGTGGAGGCACCATCACATGAACTCTGAAAGTCCAACTAATGAATTCTGAACGAACCTCTGAGATCAGGAGAGAACACTGGACTAGTCAAAGGTCCCACATAAAGCAAACCAGTGTCACTGTATCTGTGGTAGAAGCTCTTCAGATGTTTCCTCAGCAGCAGCGTCCCCACAACTATAGGAACCCCTTAGTGCTGGCACACAGATCTAATGCTGAGGGATGATCACAAATGAAACTAACCAACCAGTAAACCAGAGCTGCTTGTTGATGTGAAGGTCCAGTATCTCGCCTGTGAGAGGATTCAGAGCCAAACAGAACCGCCCTCCAGAACAACCTCCTGGCCTATGCAGGCTGTTTACATACAGCTAAGACAGAACCCATCTGAACATGTCCAGCCGTGAGGTGGAACATCAGACACCAGCGAGCCAGAGCCGGTTCTGTTACCGTGTTTTCATGTTGCCTGTTGGGTTACATCCGTTTACTTCTCTCCTGCTCTCTGTGCTCAGTTTAATCCAACAGAACTCCTGATGAAGTCCCGTCTGCATGTTTCTGTAGCTGCTGTCAGACAGTGGACGGAGTTTGAAACCGGGACTGAAATGCAGCACATTCAGACCACATGTTCACCAGCAGACACTTGACAGGCGTCTCTGAGCTGCGGCTCGGCACCACTGATGTCTGATGTCGGGTTTATGTTGATCCTGTCTGTCTGTCACTCTGTTAGTTTTTATTGTTTGTTGAGGACCGGTCCCACAGTGTTGTCTCTCTGTGACTCCACCTTGTATTGTTCTGTTGTTTACGAACAGGGGCTGGACTACGAAGCAGATCAGTGGGTCAGCAGGTATGTTGAGCTTAAAGCCAGAGTTCTCAGTGTCATGAAGGTGTCTCTCTGTTTACCTGGCTGTAGATCT